ATTTTATAATTTGACGAAATCTATGAAAGAAAGAAGAAAAGTAACACTGCATTCTACACTTCTGAGACGAAAGTACATCGTGTAACTCAAACATCTTGGATTCTAAAATAATTAAAATAATGAATTCATTGATAAAGATCGATAATTCATTGATAAAATATTACAGTAGCATCACCTAGAAACATTTATAAGATCTAAAGGACGTTCTCTAATGCATAAAATTTTATAACTATTCTCTAAATTATCATTTCTCAAAATTCGAATTATCATTTTTCAAAATTCGAATTATCATTTCTCAGAATCCTATATTCATTGTTACATTCCGAAGTTAAATCAAATTATTAATATTTATCTATAATTTAAACTGAAACATAATAATTTGTACTTTATAATAATTACGATGACATTACTATTTATTTTGTTCTTGTTTGCTTCTGTGTCATGTCAACTTATCCCGGATCCTCGACAGTACCAGGCCAGTGTCTTAGTTGGCACTCGTTTATATACATTTGGTGGCTACACAGGAAAGCCACAATACACTAGCGAAACCATTTTACTGGATTTGTCTAAATCATTCGACACTTCTCATCCCCCTTGGAGTATAGACACAAAAGGTGCCGCACCAGTGAACGCAGAATTTGGCACTGCATGTCTAAGTCCTGTTGATAATTCTACTATTTACATCATTGGCGGAGTAGCTTACGAAACATCGTTAGGATTTTATAAACCATCGCTGGTTTATACTTTTAATTCTATTGAATCAAAATGGACGACACTGGATACTTCTGGGTTTACACCATTTGATAATAATATGACTAACTTGTATAATGACATGCAGGCCATTATGCGTCATGGTCTTATCTATATCTTTAGTGGAACAAACACATTAAGGTAGGGATGGAAAATGTTTTTTATTACGTAATTAAAAACAGGTGATGATTATGTTCTTAATATATTTAAAACCAAATTTAACTATTCGGACTTTTAATCATCACCAGTCTTAATCGATGAAAAAGTGTAAATCTGTTTTTATTTTTTCATCTTTATATTAAAGCCAACCGAGAGTAATCTAACTACGAATAGTACGCTCATTCAAACTTTGAATGTACTTAATACAAAGACATTGACCTGGATGATTTTTAATTTTTCTAATACGCCGAAACCCCATGAGGGATATACTGCAACCCTTTTAAAAAATGGGTACATCCTCTATATCGGAGGTACAGAAAAAGAGCCCAATGGCACGTCCAAAGAGACGAATGTTAATATGAACAACATTCCTGTTTTTGACACGGACGATTTAACTTGGATCTCAATGGTAAATATAAATATATTTGAGTTCATTCGGGTTTGGAATTATTAATAAAATTAAAATTTTTAAGGTAGCTATAACCTTATAATCCTAAGAAAAATTCCAAATCTACTTAAATTCCATTCCCACATATAACAAAATAAAAGTCTTAATTCTGTTAATCATAACTTACTTAGACGGCCGTTGGAGATACAATCGAGCCTCGTAATTCACATTCTGCAGTGTTAAGTAAATATCATATTAATTATATTTAATTATTAATTTTATTAATTTTAATCTTACCAACAAATTTATATCTTTTATTAGCCGAAGATGGAAAAATTATAATATTTGGGGGACAATCTGGCTATGGCTTTATTCGAGTATCACCTGACCTTGCAATATTGGATACCAATTCTGTTCCGTATAAATGGTCTGTTTTAAACAACGTTTCTACAGCTAATGCTGCTCCGTCGATGGCTGGGCATTCAGCCACATTATACAATAATTATATGATAATAATATTTGGACGAAGAACAACGCTTCAACTGGAGACAGGCTATGTACCCTTGCTCAACAATCAGCTTTATTTATTTGATATCAAAAAGTATGCTTGGGTTTTGAATTTTTCATCTGGACAGCGTGCAGCCAGTTCTATCATTGGAATTGTTTCTGCTATAATATCAGTTTTAATTGCTAATTGGATACTATCACTATAGAAAATGTAAGATAAAGTTTTTCACTAAAAGTTTAACAAAATTTCATTATTGACATATGCAAATATACAAAGTGTAACTAAGAAATATATGAAAAAATCTTTATATTTAGAGTTAAATCCGATAGTTCTGATCATTTCATCTCTACGGAAGCCACAGATTAATTAGGAAATGAAAACTTTTATAACCCATCACTAAAAATTAATATTCGTTGATAGAATAGTCTATAACTTAGAAATAAGATAAAAGTGGATTTAGATTCATTTAATATATCTAAGAGTTTATTGATTCTTGGTAAAAGATAACTGTTCTTTTTTGTAACTGTATTTAATCTGCTGTAATCTATGCAAAAGTATATATTTTTTTTTTTTGACAATAACTACTGAAGAGACTCAAGAACTTTTAAAAAATTATATAAGATCAAATTTTAGTATTCTTTAAATTTTTTTTAATAAAACCTAATTTTTTAAAAAAGTTTGATAAAATTGTTTTATAAGTTTATCATTTTTAACTTCAATTTTATATTAGATTTTATTAGTTCTTTCAAAGTTAAAATTATTTTAAAGAAAAATATCAATATATTTATTAACAAAACTATAAATTTATCTTGTTTTTATTTATCTCTTCAATATTAAGTTTAAAAAAGAATCAAAAAAATCTTCAATTTTATTTTTATAAAAAGTAGATAAAATCTGTTAAATTTATTTTATTCTTTATTAGTTTTAATATAATAATATAGATATATTTATTTTAATTTTTTTTTAATTTCTTACCAAAGATTAAAAATATAAATTCTTTCTTCATTATTTTATTTTTATATTTTTAGATTTACTTGAAAATTTATATTTACTTTTACTTTATCAGAACTTTTATAATTTTGTATTAACTATAGTTTTAATTCTTAAAATTTTAATTATAAATCTAAATTTAATAGAAACTTAAATTTTTATATTATTAATTTTAATCTTTATTATGAACTTTTTCTAATTTATTTGTTATTACTAATAATTACAAAATATATATTTGCATCTACTACTATATCAATTGATAAAAAATATTTACTAATTTTAATAAATAAATTTACTACTTCTTTAAGAAATTTTTTTAAAATTATTGGCAGCCTCACTAGTATCTTTATTAAATCAAAGCATATATATAAATATATACTATAACTATTTAAACTACAGATCTGATATCATTTGGCTGCTTATTGGGTACTCAAGTGTGGTTTGCTATATTAATTGAGGCTATTGCTTGCATTGGAAGGCTATATCAAGCTAGCTAGTAAAATATAATAAGATAAATTTATTTTAAAAAAATTTTTAATTATATTCAATTAGCAATTATTTTCTTCTACTTTATCTATTTTTTTAAAACAATAATCTATTTCTAATTCTATTCTGATACCTAATTTTATTTTATCTTTTACTATAGTTCTATTGCTAAAATTTTTTTGATTGTATTTAAGCTTTTTTTTTTCTTTTAATTCATTTTGTCTTTTCTGATAAGTAACTCAGCTTTTAAGAGTCTTCTTTTATTTTTTCTTTTCTTTATACTTTTTTATTTCAACAGTGAATATATTCATAGTTTTGATAGGTTTGTTCAGAATTTTAACAATAGATTAATGATTTC